CACGATACTTTTGAAAATGCTCGTCTATATTTTCTTGTAAAACGTTCACGAAAATGCATATATTCTTATGGCGCGCATTTTAATCACAAACGCGTGAGCCGTGTTACCAATCGTCCCGCACTCTTTTTCAATGAACGTAGAATGCCGACAAGTTTGATTTGATGTAATAATATGTTGCGACCTAGACGAACATTGTTTCCGAATTGCTATATTAAAATATTGTATTTTCTCACCTTTGGCATCTTGAAGATCGAGCTATTTTTTAAGAAACTTGTAAATCGTAAAAATATTGAATTACAACAGTCTATTCTTAAGTGTAGGTACATGTCCTTGAAACATAATCCCGATAACAAAAAATCTTTTCACGATCTCATGAAAAACTAGCTGACGAAACTTTCTGAATTTATCTTCTCATATTGCAAACCCATGAAACGTACACCTAAATTGGTAATGCAATATTGGAAAACGCGAAAACAAAAAGAAAAATATATAAATTAACAAGGATAATAATGAATTTATATAAAAATTACGTAGTAAAGCGAAGAAAGCGACTAATCACTAATCAATTCTGGTTTAAAATGAAGGCAGAACAGTAACAACAACTTTTCCCCATTAATTTCAGGTAATCATATTAATTAATAAAAACTTAACAAAAGGATTTTACAGTTATCATAAATATATATTAAATCTTATATTATTTAGTATTAATAAAACAAAACAATTTAAAAATTCAATTGTAATGATTCTGGTCTAAATTTAGTAATTGTAAGTTTATTATTGTCGTGTTGGTGCCGAATTAACCAAATACTTAATTTCTCAAAATTTATATTCATTTTTCTTTAATTACCCTTCACCACTATTCGTGCAGATCTTATAAATGTAATGGACAATAGCACCGTAAAAACAAATGCGTGCACAACAATACGCTCAATGAATTTTAAGCATCCTCGTAAAACTCTGATTTACTACAATGTTATAATTTTAAACGGCATGCATCTTTGTAAAGCTGTCAAGAAATGCTTTCATCCTATGTCTTTACTGGCATGAATAATTTCGTATAGAAAATGTGGCAGTTCTAAACCAGTGAGGCATATAAATAAATAATAAAAGAAAAATAAATAAATTTTATACGAACATGACTGCCTACTCACACAACATTTCCAAAAGTGCACAAAAGTCATCCTTACTAATATTATAAGTGCTTAAAAATAAATTATTGTTTGTTTGTTTGTTTGTCGACTTTTCACGCCTTAACCACCCAACGGATTATCATGAAATTTTGTACACACATTATCAGGGGTAGAGAATAGGATATAGGGTACCTTTCATCCAGAAAAAAAATAGTGTTCCCAAGGAATAGAAGAATTAATTTTATGTGGTCAATTTCACTCCTTAAATGCCCTATCGATCTTCATGAAATTTTGTACACACATTATCAGGGGTAGAGAATAGGATATAGGGTACCTTTCATCCAGAAAAAAAATAGTGTTCCCAAGGAATAGAAGAATTAATTTTATGTGGTCAATTTCACTCCTTAAATGCCCTATCGATCTTCATGAAATTTTGTACACACATCGTCAGGGGTACGGAAAAATTAAACAAATTATTTGATTAGCTGGGTAACTTTAAAGAATGTTAGCAGTTTACCTGATAACAATTTTAAGAAAAAGTGACTCATTTAAAATCCTTTAGCAACATATTTATTACATGTTGTAAAGCAAATTCGAGGAAACAAAATAGCATCAATTTTGCAAGAACACCTATTCTACCAAAATAAAAACAACAATATTCTTGGTAAGTCATTGATTTACAGATGAATCTTTTGCCAAATGTGCGAGATATCTAGCGAAAGACGTCGTTAGCATGAAAACAAAAATATCAGAGAATCGCTTTCAAAAATATAACGTGTCTTTAACTGACGATCTCAACGGTGCTATGTGCCAAAATTCAAGGAAAAATAAAACTGCGAAACTGTTTAAATTACGACATTACATTTTTCCCTTCAGACTATACTGCAGCATATATTTGAATACTCACGACCGATTATACACGACATTACAACAAATTAATGAAATGACGATTCATTTACGATTTTAAATGCACCAAAAAGTGATAGCAGGCCTCTTCAAAATTAAAGGGTACAATCCCTATAAAACTCTTCCTACTAAGAAACAGAAATTTTTATTAAGAGCCGAAAAGAGAGGAGGGAAGTGAATGTGTTAAAAATGTATTTATTTATGTCACGATTTGTCTAAATTTAGCTCGTTTGGCAACACTGGAAGTGGCACATGTTACAGGCCGAATATTGAGCTCTTGTATCTAAATATAAACCAGTACCAAAACGATGGAATCGTCGCAAGCACCATCCGAAGGTGTCGAGGACGAATCCTCGAAACATGATCCTGAAATGGCGCGATTCGAATCGATGATAACGAGCGAACAAGTGCTTAGTGCCACGGCAAACCGCAGACGAAGGAACTTGTCCAAAAGGATGGCAAACAGAGCGAGAGAACGGACACCTTGCCGTGATGTTATGGATAAGTCCACCACGGACGACGACGCCGACGCCGACGCCGAACCTACGTCCCGACGACCGAAAACACCCGAGCGCAAGCGACGCAAACTCAAAAAACCTGCAGCCCCGGAGACCAAAGCAAAAACCAGCGACGGAGAACAAAATCAGGACACCGAAATCGCCATGGCAAACGACAAGGACAAACCTCCACAAACACAATCTCAGCTATCCCCAAAGTTTTTGCGAGCCCGAAAGGTCTTTGATAGTACCAATTCCAGAGAACAAACCCCTGAACCTTCAACAAAACTAGACAACAGCACACCACCGGCGCCAAACAATTTTCTCTCACCAAACCACGATGGGCATAACGAGAAGAGAATCGGCGAGATTAATCGACGAAATACACTTATTGGAGCGACTCAAAACGAAATAATGTCCCTTGTTGAAAAAGCAAAAAGGAGCTTAATACCCAGCAAAAACAAAGACAGATTTCGGAAACCAGATAAAGAGAAAATGAAAAGAAGCAAATCTGCTCCTAAAACACTAGAAGCATTACAATACTGTCCTTATCCGCCTTCAGAAGAAGATTTAGTAGAAAGGCTCAGAAAAGCACAGTTGGTTATGGATGATCCCCGTCCTTCACTGTCTCGAAAACCTTCCAGCAAAGATAAGTCACGTACCAAACCCTCTGAAGAAGATAAAACGCCAAAAAGTACCCCACTTTCGAAAATACCTTTGAGGAGACCGGTTTCCAAGCAACAATGTGACCAATTACAAAAAAAGAAATCTCCAAAGATAATTTCAACGAAAGTGATTGAGGTTCTCGATCCTAAAACGTCGAGGGTCGTAGCAAAGTTTTCTAAAGGTCCCCCACTACCTCCCTTCGAACTCTTGAAATTATTTAGTGTTTTACGGACCTTTACCGTCCGAGAACTTTTCACGGAATACAGGAAATTCAAACGAGACAGAATTGACGAATACCAAAAGATACGAAACCTCCGTAAACGCTGTCTCTGCAATTTGTTGTTGATTATGATTTTATGCGGGCTCGGTGGAATATGTTTTCGATTTATCGAAGGGTCATTTGAAAATTTCTACAAATGCGGCGTTAAAAGAGTAAAGAGGGACTTTATCGACTTGTTATGGTACAGAAGTCACAATTTTAGAGAAGAAGACTGGAAATCGTTGGCAAGGAACAAGTTGAGAACATTTGAAGAAGACTTACATGCCGCCCATGAGGCTGGAGTACACAGTTATAGCGGACAAAGGTCGTGGAGCTTTCGAAACGGTGTTATGTACTGCTTAACATTAATAACCACAATTGGTAAGCCTAAATCGAACAAACAATGCCAAATTTCAACACGTAATTGTACTGCACTTAACTAATTTTTTTATAGGTCCTTAAATTGAATATTTTTTGCAGGATATGGTCACATTACACCCCAAACAACCACCGGAAGGGCATTGACGATAGTCTACGCGATCATTGGTATCCCGTTGTTCCTTATAGCACTCACAGATTTTGGAAAACTTTTTACCAGAGGTATCAAATTCGTTTGGTCATTCGTAAGAAGGATTTACTACACAGGAAACTGTAGGAGGGCTAGAAAAACTGCTCATATGAAGGTATAAGCGGCTATCCATGATTCATTCTCTTCTAAATGATATTCTTTATTCCAGGAAATTTTCAAAGGGGCCCAGATGATGTACGAAATAGCGACTCTCAGAAGACCGTCCGTGTTCGGTCCAGGAACCACCGAGGACCCAGAAAACCCGAATCAAACGGCCAACACCGACACACCTACGACCCCAGCACTTTCTAACTTCGAAATCGATGACGAATTCAATCTTCCCATTTCCGTTGCGATTTTCATATTGGTCGTTTACATTTTCCTGGGAGCGATTATCTACTGGGTTTGGGAAGAATGGGACTTCTTCGCAGCGTTCTACTTCGTCTTCATTTCGATGTCTACCGTGGGCTTTGGTGATTTTGTTCCCAGAAATGACATTTGCATGATATTTTCGATCGTCTATCTCTGCTTTGGCCTCGCCCTCATGTCCATGTGCTTCAACGTGGTCCAAGTCAAGCTCAGCGACACTTTCAAAGAAGCATCTTCGAAACTTGGAGCCACAATAGGAATCGAAGTGGTCGATGAAGACGGAAGCATTACCATGGTGCCTCCTGCTACTGTTGAAATGCCCGAAATTCACGACACGAAAATCAACGAAAACGGAAATGCCAAAAACGCTAACGAAAACAAAGAAGAATTACAAAACGGTGATATAACAGACTTACAAAAGATTAAGAGAAACGTTAGCGGTTCTTTAAGTGATCCCGAAGCGGCGGAAGTGGAAGACTTGACGAAGGAGAGTGCAAAAAAGAAATGATCGGTTTTTGTTTTGGTTTTCTGTAGTTACGTTTGTTCGCGAGTTTTAAGGCTGTTCGAATTAACAAGCTACGAAATATAACATCAATAGTATTTCTAAAGGACCTTCGTTTAGGTAGAGTTTAAAATTTCTTGATAAATATGCCCAAACAAAAGCAAAAGGATAAGTGAAAACATGGGGTAATTGATAACACAAAAGCTTATATAAAAAAGAAATATTAAGCATATTATCAAAGCATTTTAATAAAATTTATTTTTGTTTTCTATAAAATACCTACATAGGTACCTAAGTACCTAAGTTAACAAAGTTGTTGTTACAAAAATAAATTATAAATTTTTAATCAAAATTCTAAATGACCAACTTTCAGAATCAAAATAGCAAGTGATAATGTTTATGTAGGTACAAGTATACAAGGGACCCATGAATGTTATATCCGTCCCCATGCAATTAACCACCGTTCTCATTTACCCCACACTAAATAAACTTTGCCTTAAAATATTAAAAACAACGTTACTACGTGTGCAAAATGTATAATATCGACATTAATAAATATGCTTGTGATTGTAAATCCGTAGAAAATGTACTCTAATTTTGTACTTTGGTCGTTATAGCCTTTGAACATTATATTTTTACAATCCCGGTTATCTCATAAATTTATACGATGTTATTAAAAATATATAGGTATANTTGTGAACAGTAATCTAACCTAGGTCTAATAATATGTCTCTGACTAGACCTTCATGCCTGATAATAAAACATCCTAAATCCCTAACTATGTGTGAACAGTTATCCAATCTCTAATTAGTCCTTCACATTTCAGAAGGCCTACCCTATATATCTCTCCCCTTCTTTATTGACTTTTCAAATAAAAATCGATAGCTAACGTTAAAGTATAACTATAACAACTTTTGTCGCTTGTTGATATATCAGGTTTTGATTAACGATAACTTATTGGTATGATTTTGTCACCTTTGAGACTTTTGGCGTTAATAAATATTATAGATTCGTTTCAACGGTTTCAATTCAACCCTCTTGGTGAAAATCCTCTAACGAAGAATTAAAATTCAATGGTTTAGTGTTTAAACGACTTCTTAAACGGGACTATTAATGTAGTTTGGGACGTTAGTGTGGGTGGTATGGTATAAAAAATAAAAAATTCATTTTGAGAAAGTTTTCGTCACAACATTCTTTGAAACACCAACACTGTTAATTTGCCGATTCGTTTATCCTCAATATCAAACAAACATAGTATTCAAAGAAACATTTGTACACACTTTAGGATTATTTATCAACATTTGCAAATGTGCGTTGAAAAGTTTATTTCGACTGCGTCTATTTCAAAACGTCGCAGTTTATACTTGGAACAATTAGAAGAATAATAAAATTGTATCCTAAACAATAGGTGCATCTCAGTTAAAATCATATAAAACTGACTTCCTACAGCATATCAACTTTCGAATAATGGAAGCTAAGGGTAATGATCTTTCGTACTGGAACATACTTCCACTTGCACGTGAACACGATAAGGAAGTATCATCTGTTAAATGTTTTGCTAATAATAAATTTTACAGCATCTCTGTTCATACGTATATGGTATTAAAATCCGTAAGACGCTTATTTGCTTTACTTTTTTAAATTACAACCACCTAACCACCGTTTTGTTTACCAAATAGAACTTGTTTATTAATATAAAACGAATGCACTTAAACTAAAGTTATTTTGGAATCAACTATGCCAAAAATGCGAAACATCCGTCGTCGAATAGACACATACGTAGGACTACGACGATATCTCCTGCCAGGCAACATTGTCGTATTGTCGACATTCTTTTATAACATATCGACAATATATTGTTTTGTTTTTCAAATTAAACGGAGAGATTTAATTTTTGTATGTAGACGTCTCAGTCTTTTGCATATAGTGAGTGAATCATAAGGGGTTGCCTTTCACCAACTTTTAACTCTGGCTGTGACCACTGAATTACCAAAAATACTGATGTACATATCTCAAATCTTATTATGTCAAGTACGATTTGTGCAAATTTTAGCAATTTAAATTACAAATATATATAGTAATTGATAATAACACAATTCTACTGTTTTTACTTCGCCCTCTCATTAGAGTGTAGGCCTAGAGGATTTCCCGGAATGACACATGCAAAAATTTTCTTCAGTTTTGTGATTACAAATTATGCTGTCATTGCTATACTGATACTTATACCCATTTCCGTTTTTCATTTTCTACCTACGCAATGATCAATTAGAAGATACCACTTTATCATCATAAGGTCGTCAGTCCTAAGACTGGTTCGACACGCACCTCCACTCTTTCCTATCCTAAGCTAATCATTTCCCCAAAAATTAGACTTGACCCTACTATCTGCTTTGTATCCCTACTACTTTTTCCGTCCTGACTTATCTGACTTCCTAGATACCTAAAATCAGCCACTTCTTCTAATTATTCGTCTCCTGTTTTTATATACGCTCTTTCCCTACTTTTTCTTCCCTTGCATACCAGTATTTTTGTTTTACTTTTATTTATTTTCATACAATACTGTTTTCTCAATATCGCTTCCATTTCTAAATCCTCCTTGGTAGATGCTAATACTGCTATATCATCTGTAAATCTAAGCATTCTAATCTTTTGCTCCTGTATATCTATCCCTACAGTTGTACTGTCTTTAATTATGTTGATCGCGACTTCGATGATGGATTAAAATGTAGCGGTGACAGTGTGCATCCCTGTCTGTCTCCCTTCCTTATATTTATTTCTCTACGTTGCAGCCCCAGCTCTATAACTGCCTGTTACTCCTCATACAAACTAAGTATCACTCTTCTATCTCTGTAACTCATCCCTACATTTTTAAGGATATTTAACATCTTGTCCCATTTAACATTGTCAAAAACCTTTTTCTAAATGTACAAATCCTATGTACTCACTCTTTCCTTTTTCTATCGTTTTCTCTATTGTTCCCAGTAAAGTTAGAATGGCCTTTCATGTTCTATTTCTTATATACCCAAATTAATCATCCCCTAATTGTTCTTGAAACGGAAATTAAAGTAATTTCTCAAAATATCTTGTTAACTTTTGTGTTACTAAATAAGTATTTTTTTTTAAACTTTGCTTTATGAATTCCAACTTACTATGTAAAATTAATTCTTTAAATCTATGACTGTCATCCAACTAGAATTTTATTTTCAATGTAAAAGGTAATAATTGAGCTTCAATAAGAAACTTTGTATCCCGATTTTATTACATATTATCCGATTTTTAATAATGCTCCCAGTATACAACCAAGCCTACGGATGTATTCACATCAAAATTTGAACAGATGTGTCGTGCAACTTATTAAAAGAAATTTATAGTTGGCAATAACGACAAAAATGCGTATTGAGAAATACTAACTGGGCTTTTTACGACAAATTTAATTACCCTTACTGTAAAAGAAAATTGAGATAACATTTAAAATCTCTCCTCGACAACGACGATGTAAACAATTTTTATTGATAACAACGAAATAACGCAGACACGTCGTCTATCCAAACAAAACCTGATTGAAATACTGCATAAATAAGAAAACTAACGATAAGTATTGCAGGAAAGAGCTAAAAATACAGTAAATTTTATTGCCGTAATGCGCAAATTAGGAAATCAATTTCTCTTCCTTCCTAATTTCAAAGTAATTTAAAATAAACAATAATTACGAACGATAAACTCGATCTGTTTTCACTTTATTACACCGAATTATAAATCAACTAAATCCTAAAACAATATTTTATCCTTTTATCGTACTGATACTTTTTTTTTCGATTTAAACGAATTAATAGATCGGAGCCAATGCATAACTTTTTCTCAAAGGGATATTTAAAAAAACATTACATGATTTAAATAGGCCACATAAATGTGTTTTAATGACACAGGAAATCTTACATTTAATGGACGTATTAGATAGGTGACTAAATTTAGACCGTGCTAATTTAATTGTTTATATTACATATGACATATGTGTATTTTCAACAATGGTTTCAATTTGAATCAGCGAACGAAAGTTTTATAAAGTAAATTTCAATACATACTTACAGGAAAAATCATAAACAACTCTAACTGATCATTCGGTAGTCGATAGAGCAATAGTCAGAAATAGATACATTTTTAACACCTAATCATGAAGAAAATTACAATTTTTCTAATAGTAATGCCGTTTTGCTATATGCAAGAATACGTAAAAAATCTAAAGAAATCGATAAAATATTTGCTAGAACAAACAAAGGAAAAATCATATTATCATATTTTTTTTTCTGAAATCCATAACTATTTTAACTATCAATGTTATGCAGGTGTAAGTATTTTTGAATTAAATGCCAAATATGTATCAAATTCTTGAAAAAGAAACAACTTTGAACTGGACCACAAGATTAAAAAAATATTGTACCTATACTAAATTCTGATGTGATAAAATTAGTTCATCGGCAAATACCTAAACACCCCATTATTTTAAATTTAGTGCCTAGAATAAAATGGTGATAATATGACCAAGTACCTATCTAATAAATTTATATTACCCTATTTTCTTAATATAATTTGAAAATGCAATCAATTGGATCTTCACGTGTAGAAACGGGAATCTTGCACCTCCGTGTTCCACTTAAAAACTTAATTTTATAACTGGGTTAGACATGTCCATTTAAAAATAGTTGAAGTTAGGATTCAAAAGTCAGAACTGAAAATATTTCCGAGATGTAGAAAAATGTAGGTTTTTTTGCATCTACAAATCTGTCGTCATAAATTCTGAGATATCCAAGGGTTAAAATTAAATTAAATTCTATTTTTACCTCGAAATATGTTGTGTAATGTCTGAATGATGCATATGATATCCCTAGTTTTTATTCAGAGATCCTTTTAGAACCAGCTATACTAACTTTTATTACATAATCCACCTTCTACTTTGTTAATAAAAGATCAATAACGTTATATATATGAGTTTTTTATAGTGTTAATACGATCTATTGACGAATTAATTTTTGAATTGATTTGGCCCAGATATAGATACCCTCAAATTAATGAGAAAAAAATCAATATTGCTATCGCTCCCTTGCCGGGAATCGAACCCAGTACTGGCGCGTACAACCATGGACCCGAGTTAGTGGTCAAAGTATTGGTACGTAAAGCCAGAGTCCCGGGTTCGATTCCCGGCAAGGGTGTGACAACAACAACAAATTTTAGCTCATTAACCTGAGGTAATTTATAGTGGGTAAAAAATTGAAATTGAATTTTCACATTAACATTTGATATTAACCATTATTACATGTATGTAGAAATGTCGTTAGCTAAAAATATAATTTTAGATTTCCTCATGTCGTTTATCATTGTAAGTTTTGAGACGCAATCAAAAATTGTTTGATTCTAAAATATAGTAGGAAATACCGCCTACGTTTTCCGTACTGAATGAATTTTGATAACAATTTTGTCTAGGAAGAAATGAGAGTAGTACCCTTACCAATCTTCGGAACGAAAGAAAAAAGTTGATATACGATTTGAAGAAGTTGTGCGATATGCCGGACAGATTGTCGGAAGGAGAATGGCTTGGCGAATCAATAAGGCGAATCGAAGAATTTCAACAGTATGTTATCGAAGATTATGTTAACAATCCACTTACTGTGAAGAATAACGAAAAAGTTTGGACACTTCTCGACTCCATTGTTTATTGCGCAACTATATACACCTCAATAGGTGAGTTAATATTAATAAATTATAAAATCTTTCAAAAATATTTTAAAGTTTTTATTTTGGTGGAGGCGCCGCACATATAATTATACTTTAATGCACACTCAGTGAACATTAATCGTTATTTACTTCTAAATAAAATAACTGGCAGGTACATTTCATTTGATTGCCACACGATACTTTTGAAAATGCTCGTCTATATTTTCTTGTAAAACGTTCACGAAAATGCATATATTCTTATGGCGCGCATTTTAATCACAAACGCGTGAGCCGTGTTACCAATCGTCCCGCACTCTTTTTCAATGAACGTAGAATGCCGACAAGTTTGATTTGATGTAATAATATGTTGCGACCTAGACGAACATTGTTTCCGAATTGCTATATTAAAATATTGTATTTTCTCACCTTTGGCATCTTGAAGATCGAGCTATTTTTTAAGAAACTTGTAAATCGTAAAAATATTGAATTACAACAGTCTATTCTTAAGTGTAGGTACATGTCCTTGAAACATAATCCCGATAACAAAAAATCTTTTCACGATCTCATGAAAAACTAGCTGACGAAACTTTCTGAATTTATCTTCTCATATTGCAAACCCATGAAACGTACACCTAAATTGGTAATGCAATATTGGAAAACGCGAAAACAAAAAGAAAAATATATAAATTAACAAGGATAATAATGAATTTATATAAAAATTACGTAGTAAAGCGAAGAAAGCGACTAATCACTAATCAATTCTGGTTTAAAATGAAGGCAGAACAGTAACAACAACTTTTCCCCATTAATTTCA